GAGAGAGAGAGTGTGTGTGTGTTTATACATGCATTTTAGCACCATTATAACCTTTAGTACCATAGTACAGTACATTGAAGATCGCAGACGAAACCCAACTCTCAGAGACATCAGCAATACCAACAGGAAGGCATGCAAGCAATCGTTCGCCACATTAACCCCTTTTTTGGCGGGGTGATCTGTCTCCTCCTCGTTTGAGGAGCAAGGACCCCAGTGATAAGCATTCTCAAAAGCAAAAACACGAGTATTTACCGGCGCCTCAATAGTTCGTGATCTCATTCCTGCAGAAGCCCGGGGTGCTGAGCCAAAATTATGGTAGATAGTGTAGCCCCGGATCTTGTTCCAATGATTTGCACCCCTGCACCCCCTCTCTCTAAAACCCCGGGTATGATCGCCCCTACGATCCGGTCTACTTCCACATATTTCGTACAGTTAGAGTACCGCATCCTTGGGCTGTACTTGGGAGAACAAATACCCGAAGCGGAGGTATTCTGCCCCGGTGCTTCCGATGCAACATACAGCACAGCCTGAAAAGCGTGTCCCTTTGTATCCCAAATGCATGTTGGAATTGTGGGCGCTACTGCCAGGGAGCCGCTGGGAGACACCAAACCAAGGCGATGGCCGGTTTCGTGTGCAAGACATGGTTAGGGCCAGGTAGGGTTCAGGAACTTGGGTGTTTAGGAGTGAGCCGCATGGTAGTGAAGTGTTCCTGTGCTTGGTTGTTGGTGCGGGTCTGGATGACGTTTCTTGCAAANNCTCTAAGCCCTAAGCCCTAAGCCTGAACCCCAAACCCTAAATCCTTACACTTTAAAAAAATCCTAAACCCCAAACCCCAAGCCCTAAACCCTAAATCCTTAGACTTTAAAGTATCCTAAACCCTAAACCCGGAGCCCTAAACCCTAAACTTTAACCCCAGAAGCCCTAAACCCCAAACCCGAAGCCCAAATCCCCGGAAGAAGTGGTAACAACGTCCTCCTGGCCCAGCCTCCCTTGATATGGCTGTCGGTGCTACACTGGATGATTGGGTGGTTGATCTCGGCGGCGGTTGGTGGATTCGGTGTTTAGTTGTTGGGTCCGTGGCTTCAAGGCTCACTCAACCTATGCTGGTATTGACCTTGTCTTGACTCCTTGCATCCCCATTCCATTGTGTAAGTACTTCGCGACATGTCGTGTCGGTGCCGTGGCTGAATGATGATCGAAGATGAAGTCAGAGACATAGAAGATTGCGTGACACCCAACTGACAATTGGCGCACCACATCACTTACAGCTGTTGCAAAGCACAGGAACCTCCGCGAAGGCTGTTGATCGGTAGGCCGCATCTGGTTCAAGCACTGATCCCGGCTGTGCAGCCTATCGGAGATAATATAGTATAATATTATATTATATTATATTATATTATATTACATTATATTATATTATATTATATTATATTGTAGTATATTATATAATATACTACAATATTATACTATATTAGGTAGGGTTATGTCCAGTTCGGTAGGCGCCATGCCTTGCGGCATCCTCAGGCCTCCCTTACGAGGAGTGCCGGGAGAGCGGCAACCGGGCTCGCGCCAGGCGCTCTTCACTCTGTCCTGCATCAATGCACTGAATTTCGCAGACCGGTATGTGCCCTCATCGGTGAAGCCGCAGATCGAGAAAGACCTTGGCTTGTCTGACTGGGAGAGCGCAATGCCTGCCATGGCTATGACCGCGGTTTTCACTGCAGCGAGCTTAGTCTTTGGACTGCTGGCTGATCGGGAGTTTGTGGACAGACGGCTTCTCCTTGCAAGCGGCATTGGCTTCTGGTCACTGGCCACGGCCTTGGGTGGCCTCGCACAAAATCTCACTCAACTGGTGCTCTTCCGTGCTTTGGTGGGCGTGGGGGAAGCTTCTTTTGCGACCGTGGCGTCGCCGATGATTGCCGACTTTTACCCGGGTCCCCAGCGCAATCGAGCCTACACGATCTTCAGTCTCAGCGCACCGGTTGGGGCCGCTCTGGGGTTCGGTGTCGGCTCGACGCTGGGACAGAACTTGGGCTGGCGCACTGCCTTCTTCGCCTGCGGCGTTCCAGGAATACTCGTGGCCACCTCCGTGCTCTTCCTGAACGATCCTCCCTTGGGCATCAACGACGAGATCGAGGACCCCACGCACCCGGAGGAGTCGACGGAAGAAGACTCTGAGCAGTCAAAGGGGCAGCCCCTGGATTGCGCCTTTCTGCGAGAGGTCCGAGATCTCTTGAGCAACCCTTTCTTCCTCTCCGCCACCTTAGGCACTGTGGCTATCTCCTTTGCACTGGGAGGCCTCACTGAATGGTACCCGACCTTCTTGGTGCGCTACTCCGAGCTCTCGCAAGAAGAGAGTGGCCTGGTACTCAGCGGCAGCTCTGTCCTGAGCGGTATCGGTGGGACCATCCTTGGCTCCAAGGTCGTCGACAGTGCCGCCCGCCGCTTTCGGATGGGCAGCAGTTCCTACTTTTTGGTGCCGGCGTGCTTCATGCTGCCAAGCGCGATGCTCATCGCAGTGGCCGTGAACCACTTGCAGACATGGTCTCTGGTGGTGTGTCTTATCTTGGGTGAGATGTTCTTCTTCTGCTACCAGGCACCTATCGCCGCGCTCTCGATGTCGGTGATTCCTGTCCACAGCCGTGCGAGGGGGTCGAGCTTGCAGATTTTATTGGGCCATGTCCTTGGTGACGTGATCAGCCCACCCATCATCGGCTTCATCTCTGATGCCATGAACCTTAAGTTGGGCTTGCAAGTCACTTGGGTAGCTGTAATCATGGCGGGCCTGTCATGGTTTGCGGGCTATTTCTGCTTGGAGAAACCACCGATAAAGGTCGTGCCAAAGCAACAGACGGATTCCGGCACGATCTCCTACATCCTTCGGACGGGGAGGGAGTCCGTCTGCGGCTGCGAATCCGACTCAAGCTCTCAATCTTCATAAGCTCAAAACAAACTCCCGAGCCCCTCAACCCTAAACCCATCCCCATGCGTGTATAACCCGTCAATCAGAAGTCTGAAGCAGGAAATGCACAGATTGTCAGGCCGGGAACTGTAAAGCTCTTCACGCTGCACACTTAAAGCAAAAAGTGGGTTTATGTGGTTTAAAGGGTTAAGGGTTTATGGGTTAGGGGTGTAGGGGTTTAGGTTTTAGGGATTAGGATTTAGGGGTTTAGGGTTTTAGGGTGTTTTCGACAGCCGCCGGTCTCCAAGGTTTGGAGGTTTCAGGTATGACGACTTGCTGTAGTAGCACCGTCTCTTCAAACCAATTGTCCCACCTTCGGGTTCCGTGTCAGTCTTTGCACCTACATGGAAGTCAGGGGAAATTGTTGCAAGCATTTTTCGTGTGTGTTGATATATCATAGTGTCGTGGTGTAGGTTCGGTCTTGGATGATTTCCGAGTTTCGGTGTCCTAGCTTTCAGAGCTGAGCTGGTGAGCTCACACTTCGATTATCGGCCCGATAAGATAGCGTGCCTGAGGGCTCCGGTTTAGGGTTAAGGGTTGAGGGTTCAGGCTTGATGGATGTTGTAAAGGAATCACTAAAGGAGCCCTTTAAGGTGAAAAAGCTGCTCAATATTCTTAGGGGCTTACGGTTTAGGGATTCTGCTGCTTAGGGTTTGTGGTTTATTTCGGTGCCTGGGCAGTTTACTATTACGGCTTGTTCAAAGATGTGGTTCTGAAAATTTTTGGGGTTGAATAGAGGAGCCTAATGAGTGCATGGTTGTTTTCTTTCCTTAGGCTTCCTGAACCACCGGTATACTATAGGGGCCTTAATAATTAGAATTGGGTTTAGGGGTATATTATACTATAGTTTTATTAAGGAACCCCCAAAACCCTATTCTAATTATTAAGGCCCCTACATTACTGCATTCCTCCGGGTTCCTAATTTCATCGAGGAGATTCCAGGAGGTTGAGAATAATAATCCCGGAAAGCCTGTTGAAATTTGTTCGGCCCTATAGTTCGTAACTGTTGTTGGGGGTCTTGGGCCCTTCTCCCATTGTGAACATAAGGAAGCATGATGGCGGCTTACTGGATGAAGCATTGCGAGGTTAGGAACGTGTGGGCTCCATGCCTGGCCCTTCTCCTGCTTGCGAGAATTACCCATATCCTTAAGCCGACAAATGATCCAACATCACTGCACGCCCTGAAACTTAAGGCTTATGTCACTTTCAAACCAAGCACCCGATTCCCCTTTCAAGGCCAACCTCATGCCCGTCGCGAAAGCGGAAGAAGCTTCCTCCTCCGAAGAAGAAGCGCGCCAAGGAGCAGTCCTTACAAGCCCTTTTCAGTCGAAAGTGGGACCTACTGTTGATGATAGAAATCCTGCATTATTTTAAGGACCCTAAACTATGGGAATTATGGTATATTCCTTATTATGGGTAATGCAGGATATATATCATCAACCGTAGGAGTCTTGCAGGGCTTCCCTCAACCCCCTAAACTTCAAAACCCTGAACTCCTAATTCCTTGGGGCTCAGGATTCTCAAGTTCAGGGACCTACATGCCAGACCTTGAAACTTGAGCCAAACCTGAAGTTCTGCGTTCTCCCTATTAAACTGACTGGTCTCAGAAAAGAAGGACCCGTGTTTTCAGTGAATTACAGGAGAACCTAGCCCCAAGCCCCCGCTATCATCAGCCTTCATCGAGGGCAACCCCTTTTTGTTCGAGGACCTGCCAGGAGTAAGACAGGCAATATAGACGTGGAAATAACACGTAACATTCTGGCTGCTCCCCATGATAACCTAATCTGAGTAAACGCATCAAAACTCGTCCTGATCAATCAGACTGCCATCTTACCTCAACAGTGATGACCCCAAAGCAGGGGTTTAAGAGAGGGAATTATGGCTTAGATTTATGGGTATCATAGCGCTTTTTGCAGGCGCACAAGAAACCAATAATATAGAGGCCGGAATAGTTGGCAATACTATTCGTTGGGATTCCATATTTAGTTCTACTATAATGTACCCCAAAACCCCATTCCAATGATTAGGTCCCTATATCAAGCCATCTATGGAATTGAGTCCCAGACAACCAGAATATTAAGGGTGTGCCATACCTATTGTAGGGCTTTACTGACTTTCTTTATGATTACGATTGCATTGTGGGAAATGAGGTACACAAGAGAGAGTCACAATCCAGGATCGAGGTATTCACCCTGGGTATCAGACCCTATCAAACCCGAGCCCAAACCCATCAAAACCATGTAGAAACCCACAACGCTACATAACAATCCTTGGCAACCGTATATGAACCTATACTATACAAAGGTTACACACACACATACATATATACATATATGCACTTTATCTACATGCGTACATACCATTGTCTGTGTATGAGTGTGTGCATGTGTGTGCGTGTGCGCATGTGTATATATATTTATATTTATGTTTATATTTATACTTATATTGATTTATATTTATTTTATTTATATATGTATAGCGTAATCAGCAGCCCCAGCAGCCAGGAGCCTCCACCGGAAGAGCCTGCACGCCCAAAAAAGGCACCAAGAAGGGACCCGCGCATTTCCGAACCCGCTCGTGTGTTTTAAGCTTTAGGGTTTAGAGGTTTAGGGTTTAGGGTTCTTAGCAAGGCTTGGTTCACTAGGGTGTGGTAGGGTCTTATGCGGGTCTGTGGATCTTCACTGGCTTCTACAGGGTTTTCTAGAAACCTACAATTAGGTTGTTTTTTAAGGTGTCTCTACGGCTTGGTGTGGGGCTGCTACTTGGTTTTATTTAGGATTAACCTAGACCCCCCAACTACCCTCTAATATACCCTAAACACCCACTATTAGGGACCATAAGGGCTCTATTAAAGGGCCCTTGCGGGTCCTGGTTACAAGAAAAGCTAAACCCCAAACCCTAAACTTCACTAAACTTGGGGGGTCCTGGTTACACAAGAAGCTAAACCCCAAACTGAACCCTAAAGCCCNNCCTGAACCCCTAAACCCTAAACTCCGCTTTTGGGCCTCGGACTTTCTCGAAGGCATTGTACTTGTATGAATGTCGGACCGGAGGAAAGTGATGGGCTTGAAAGGTCGACCATCACATTGCGAAGCTCTAGTTTAGGGTTTTAGGGGTTTAGG